GGGAACATGAATCAAATATGTATCTTTATTCATTTACAATAAACTCATAAAGTACATCATTCTGATTGAAGCTAAGGGCATRCAAAACTGTCTAACAAAAGCAATAACAATGATGAAGATATAGCTCTTCTTTCAAGAAGCATCTTAAGCTTCTTGAAGAACAAAGGAAAGAAGTTCACTGCTAAGAAGCCTACAAAGAAACCTACTTGCTACAAATGCAAGGGGGAATGGAACTTCATGCCCTTATTTGAAGAAAAAATCCAGAGGCAAGAAGAAGGCTCAAGCCACTTGGGATAAGGAAAGCTCAAGTGATGAGGGATTAGAAGAAGAACAAGCCAATCCTTGCTTCGTTGCCAAGGATGAAGAGGTAAGTCCTAGCTCCTTTTCTATTAGTTCTGATTTAACAGAAGTTCTTATTGATACAATTTAGGAACTATTAGAGATAAATAAAAGGATTATTATTAAAAATAAGGAGCTTAGGAAGAGTTTAAAAAACTTATAAGTTTAACGATTTGAAGAGTGAAAATGATACTCTTAGTTTATCAATTTCAACCAAATCGGCTTAAGTTGTTGAATCAAGAATAGAGAATGACACTTTAAAAGTATTCCTTCAAACAAATTCTAAGGAGAATCAATCATTAAGAGCTGAAAGAGATGAACTCCTTGGAAAGTTTGAGAAAGCTTAAACCTCAAACTGGACAAGGCCCATATGTTCTTATTGCTACAAATTGGGTCACACTGCTTACTATTGTTATTTCAGGAGAAATCCAGATGGCCCAACAGTAAAATGGGTGCCAAAGCAATGACCCAAGTTGTTCAATTCAGTAGGCTTTGTTAATCATCACCACAAGTACTAAAGATCTCAAAATAGGTCTATGATAACGAGCAGTCCGAGTTTTTTAATCAGTTAAAAGCAGAAACAGGTGACCAATGAGAGTTATCAGTCAACTAGTAAATCCAAGCAATCGGCAATTACAAAAGCATTAAATGTTTCTAGAACAGCAAAGTATCTCTCTGAACATTCTAAATCTTTACTAAACTAGAAACAAATCACATGGCCTCCTCAAGCAAGGAAAAGAAGTCTAGGGTGTCTGAACTTTGACCCAAATATACTGAAGACCCTTTCAGATGTTGCTTTAGAGACAAGGAAGGAGAGGTTAGATACAAGTCAACATTCGCAAAAAGAGTCATTCTGGAAGGAAGAACCGAAGAAAGGTAGATTTCGAAGTGTTGGAAATGAAGGATTTGATTTGCAAATCCTCTTCAATACACTTGGCTGGACAGGTATATCAAAGAAAAATTGTCTACCTATCTAAAAGGTGTTGAGATAAAAATGAACACCACTGAAATAGTAAAAACCCTTGGAATAAGTACAGAGGGGCCTTCCATTTATGAGAAAGAAAAAATGGCCAAATGATATAGGAGTCAGTCATGGCCCTTAGAGTTGTTTTTGAAAGGGAAAGGATCAAAGATTCATACAAACCTCTGTCCAAACACTTAGATTTACAAACAAGAGTTTTGCACATAATAGTTGCCAAGGTAATATTACCAATGTCATTGTAAGATCTTGTCCTAGGGGTGCTAGAGTCAAGCTCTACAAAGGTCAGGCCCAAACCCGAACTGAAATTTGAAAAAGGAAAAGATGACTTTTTTGGCCCAGGCCCAGCCCGAGGGCAAAAATTTCAAGCCTAGCCTATGTAAATTTTTGGTCTAGGTCAGTCTGGGCTTGGGTTGGGCCCGCCCAAGTTGCACCCCTAGAACAGGACCATACAGACCTCCATGTCCAACTTGCAAATAACCCTTGAAATTAATTGGCACTATCTCAAGTCTATGCATTCATTTGCAACTAATGAGCCATATAGAATCTATCGCCCATCCACAAAGAGACACCCCAGACCAAAGAAATAACAAAGGAAAGCATTTGCCACAATCAGTTAGACAAGGCCATAGACATAGGGAAAATAAACTAATTGCAAGCAAAAGAAAAATCTGGTTGTTCGGATAAGTAACAATACCTAGCCCATGTTTAGAAGTGCTTCCCAAATAAGCACTCATGAGTGTTCGGTGAAAAAGCACATTTTTCAAACAGGGTAGTATAGGTATTTCAAAATGATATGGCAAACCAAGACGGGCCAGTAAGGAAATAAGCACTTATTGAATAGATGCTTAAAAAGAAGCTCAAAATTTGGGCTTCTTGAATAGGTGTTTATTTTCAAGAATAAGCACTTATTCAGGTTTATTTCCCAAATGCAGCTAAGTGCTTATTGGTGTTGTCCTGGCCCAAAACAAGTGCTTATTTGAATAAGAACTTAAAAAATAAGCACTCCCAAACTTATCCCGAGAACTGCATTATCTGTACAGTTTTCAAACAATACCTTCATTCTATATTCCTAAAACTAGTCAGGCTCCTAAGAAACTACTGACCGCCCATTCTTCAGTTTCCTCTTTGTGACTATCTAAAATGCTAGAACAATAAACAACCACATACCTTCCACCTGATGACTATTAATAAGTAGATAGCTATTTGGAATGAAATTTGAAATTCCCTGGGTCCCCATGGTATTTGCCTATGCTGCTGACCTAACCTCACTATAGTTATTTTCCAAATGTGATTTTCTCAAGTACCAAAAGGGAAATAAAAATTAGAAAAAGAGAAAGCAATACAATACAAGTAGGGGAAAAACTCAACCAAAATTAACCCCAAACCAAACTGAAATTGCTTAAAATAAATAATTGTTGTTTTCAGTTTACCAAGCTAACCTCTGCGGAATGTGGGCCTCCACTCGATGTCAAATCCTAGTGTAATTTGGTCCATGCTCTTCTTCTTAGCATCAAGGATCTTCAAAAGATCCATAGTAGCTTTCTCCACTTCATGAAATGTTCTACTGTATACAATTTCGCCACCAAAATTTATTGTGGGATATCTAACCTTTAGATTCCCTAAACAAGGAACACATAGAACATCAAAATGGTTACAACTGGAAAAATATAAAGAGAGTTTATATGAATGTACTGATAGTTATTATCTTCCAAATTCTGAAGGAGAGTGCAGAAAAGCTAGTTTTGTGAACATAGTTGGGAGCCCATAATCTCTGAATTCCCCTTTCCACCTCTTCATTGGCCAAGTTTCAGCATGAATTTTTTTGATAGGTAACAGAAAATTTATTAAAAATATAATGTACCGTGTCAGTTACATATAATACAGCAATTAGGCTAGAAATTGCTAATTCTCCAACCTCTTATTAAATTCCTTGAATCTACTCTAGAAATCAACCTCCCTAGGAAATCTGCTACTAAGGTGAACTAAAAAAGGAGAGAAAGGGTTCCCTTGTCTAATATCCCTCAAGCCCGGAAAAAAATCCACCACTTTCCCATTCAATAGAATGGAGTAATTGCATGTCAACTCTCTATCTCCCTTGCACAAAGGCCTCTTGGTTAGGTGCAATAATAGCAGGAAGTGTCAGAATTGTTAGAAGTGGTTAACAGGGGCAGTATTGTCATTTTCATGTTATTCTTTCTCTCTTATATCTGCTGTAATTTTCCTAAGGGTCTTAGTAGAATGTTAATACAACTTGGGTCGACAGTAAGGAGAGGTGAACAGATTTCTCTTCTCTAACCTTCCCTCTTTTCTTCTCCTATTCTTCTCTTTCCCTTCCCTTTCTCTTCCTATCTTCTCTTTCTTCTATCCTTTCCTTCACTTTTTCTTACTTTATTAAAGTTGGAACATGGTATCAGAGCCTTGAGGTCGACTGTACTGTTGGCGGCACTGTTCACGTCCCAACTTTTTGTGCCCTAGGAACAGAGAATATTCTCTATTCTTTGTTGGAAGGAAAAGGACTTAAGAGGACTGATCGCCCACTTGAAAAAGAGGCTTTAATGCCTCAAGTTGTAGTGTTGTGTGAGTTGGTGGTGTTTTTCTAAAAGCCCTCTATTCGGCAGTTCAAAAAGGGCAGCTTTGTGATGTTTCGAGTTGTGAGGTAGGTGCTCCTCAATGTGTGGTGATTTGTAGTGGTTTGTGTTGTGGTAACACCTTGTGGTAAGTATGCAATCTTTCCCAAGTGTTTCTAAAGTAGAGGGCTGATGATTCTTGGTGTTTTTCCTAAAGAAAAATGTGTGTTACAGTAGTTGCATACTAGCTGTTTGACAATTTGCCTAGGTGACAAATCAGTGATCTCCTCTCACTCATAGCTTCATCAAATGGTAGCACTAAACCTACAATAGTTGTGCAATCAGATTTCACGACTTCTCAATTAACTACAGTGAAACTCAATGGTACTAATTATATCCCATGGGCCAAATTGGTTGAGGTATCTCTCATTGCAAGAGGCAAGTTGAAGTACATCAAGGAGGGTCCATTGAAAAGTGAATTAGAAGGGTACAATGAATGGGTACAAGAGAATGTCCAAATTATGACATCACTTTGGAATAGTATGGAGAATCACATTAGTGTAAACCTTATGTTTCTAGACACGGCCAAGGAGATTTGGGACCACGCCAAGCAATTGTACTCTGGACAAGACAATGTCACAAAAATTTACCAGTTGTACCAAGATTATTTTTCTCTTCAACAAGGGGATAAAAGTTTTGAAGAATACTATGCTTCTCTAAAAAGCTTAAGGAATGAGCTCAATGTTTATCAACCCCTATCCACTGATTTGAAGACTCAACACAAACAACAAGAACATCTAGATGTAGCAAGATTTTTATCTGGGTTAAGGTCTGAATTTGAACCAGTGCGGGCCCAAATCTTAGGGAGCAGTGATCTTCCATCCTTGTCTGAGGTTTTTCTCTCGCATAAGGAGAGCCTCAAATCCACATAGTGATCATCCCCCACCTTCAGAGAGATCAACCATGGTAGTTTCCAGAGGAGGTTTTCCTAGTAGACATATGCGTGGTAGAGGTGGAGGAAATGTGAGGGGTTTTGGTCGTGGGCCCAGAGGTGCACGAGGAGGTGGTAGAGAGTTTGGTGGTGCAAGGGGTGGTGGTCATCGTAATGGTAGTGGTCGCGGTTCAGCCCGAAAGTACTCACATTGTGGACGAGAATGTCACACAGTCCACTTTTGTTATGATCTTCATGGCCCTCCATCCTCCTGGGCTAACCAAGCAATGGTGAAAGGTGATCTTGGGAGTCTTAGTGTGACTAAAGATGCTCCTACTTCCAATGTTGGTAAGGATAAAAACACAATTTCTATCTCATGTGAGGAGTATGAAAAGCTTCGGTAGTCTGCCTCTTCTAGTTCTGCCACTGCTACACTTATGAAGTCAGGTACTGCTTGTCTTGCTTCTAGTTCTTCACCTTCACCTTGGGTAATTAATTCTGGAGCTTCAGACCACATGACTAGCTCCTCAGATATGTTTATATCCTTGTCACCACCTTCTACTTCTCAAATTGTTACCTTAGTTGATGGTTCTTCTTCTACTATTACCGGTACCGGTAATGTCTCTTGGTTCTAACCTTAGTTTACGCTCGGTTTTTTATGTTCCTAAGTTTCCCTTTAGTCTCTTGTCTATAAGTAAGCTTACCCAAACATGTCAGTGTTCAGTAACATTTTATCCTTCATATTGTGTCTTTTAGGATCTTAAGACGGGGAAGACGATTGGTGGCGGTCGTGAAGTTGGAGGACTGTACTACTCGGATGACCATGGTCCTCAGAAGGCTCTTCATTCCTCTCTTACACCACATCAGTGGCATTGTCATCTTGGTCATCCTTCTCTATGTGTTTTTAAAAAGCAAGTCCCAACCTTGGAGTCTGTAACTCAGCTAGATTGTGAGTCATGTCAATTGAGTAAACATCATAGAGTGTCTTTTGTTCCTAGGGATGATAAGAGAGTCCTGAGTCATTTTGCTTTAGTCCACTCAGATGTTTGGGGTCCTAGTCATGTGTCATCTTATAATGGATTCAAATATTTTGTAACATTTATTGATGACTATTCAAGAATGACATGGATTTACTTAATGAAGGATCGTTCAGAATTGTTCTCTGTTTTTCTATCTTTTCATGCTGAGATAAGGAATCAATTTGGTGTATGCATTAAAGTGTTTCATTCAGATAATGCCAAGGAATACTTTCATAATAATTTTCAGTATTATTTTGACTCTCATGGTATTATACATCAGCCCTCATGTTCACACACTCCTCAGCAAAATGGTGTGGTTGAGAGAAAAAATTGCCATGTGATTGAAACTACTTGGACCTTGTTGATTCAAATGTCAGTTCCTAAAATCTATTGGAGTGATGCAGTTCTCACCTCTTGTTTTTCATAAACCATATGCCTTCTTCAGTCCTAGATGGTAAGTCACCTTTCTCTATCTTGTTTCCTTCCACCTCGCCTTTCTTTCTTCCTCCTTGTGTGTTTGGTTGTGCGTTTTGTTCACAAATTGGGTCCAGGCCATGATATACTTGACTCTAGAGCTATTAGATATGTTTTTCTTTGTTACTCTCGTACTCAAAAAAAGTTACAAATGCTATGATCCTATTTTACAGAAAGTTTTTGTTGCTCCGAATGTTACCTTCTTTGAGAGTTTACCCTATTTCTCTAGATGTGAACCTTCTCCTTCTATTCCCCTTCCCTCTGAATTTGGTGATGTCTTTGTTCCCTTGCCTACTATGGAGGAGCCTATTCAACCATCTATTCATAGAGTGTACTCTAGACGTGATAGTCAACCAAAATTGTCGCCAGTAGTTGATCCAACTCCAGCTACTGGCATGCCACCAGTGTCTTTGCCGTCAATAAATCCACCATCCCCAGATCTTGATCTTCCTATTGCCCTTCATAAAGGTAAGTGTACTTGCACAGATCACCCCCTTTCTCGGTATGTCTCCTTTGCTCACTTGTCCCCTTCACATCAACGTTTCATTTCCCTTCTATCCTTTGTTTCTCTACCGTGTTCTCTACAAGAAGCCCTCTCATCTCCTAACTAGAAGAAGGTGATGGATGAAGAATTTCATGCTCTTTAGTCCAATAATACCTAGGATCTCACTTCCTTACCACCTAGGAAGCAGGTCGTTGGTTGTCGATGGATATTTATAGTTAAACACCGCCAAGATGGCAGTATTGAGCGATTCAAAACTCGACTTGTTGCAAAGGGGTATACTCAAACCTATAGTGTGGACTATTCAGAAACCTTCTCTCCTGTGGCTAAAATAGGTTTTGTACGAGTGCTCATTTGTTTAGCTGCCCACTTTGGTTGGCCCCTATTTCAGCTTGATGTCAAAAATGCGTTTCTCCATGGTGATCTTCAAGAGGAGGTATATATGGAGCAACCTTCTAAGTATGTTGCTAAAGGGGAGTGAGGAAAGGTGTGTCGATTGAAGAAGGCTATCTATGGGCTGAAGCAATCACCGTGGGCATGGTTCAGTCGTTTTAGTAGTGTGTGCAAGATTTTGGCTTGAAACAATGCACTGTTGATCACTCTGTGTTTAGTAGAGACTCGTCATCTGGGAAGATCATTCTAGTAGTGTATGTTGATGATATTGTTCTCACTAGCAATGATACACATGGAATTGATGAGTTGAAACAGTTCCTATAGCAACACATTCAAACTAAAGATCTAGGAACCTTGAAGTACTTTCTTGGAATTGAGGTAGCTCAATCAAAGTGGGGAATCTCTATGTCCCAAAGAAAGTATGTTTTAGATGTGTTGGATGAAACTAGGTTGTTAGGATCCAAGCCAGTTGAAACTTCCATGGATCCCAATGTGAAGATGACTGATAGTCAAGGGGAGCCATTAGAAGACCCTACAAGGTATCGAACACTGGTAGGCAAGTTGATCTATCATACCATAACTAGGCCTGACATCTCCCTTAGTGTTGGAGTCCTCAGTCAATTCGTGCAAAATCCAACAACTTGGGATATTGTTATGAGGGTGTTGAAGTATCTAAAGGGTGCTCCTGGTCGAGGACTTTTGTATAAGAAAGGGGGAGATATGTCTCTGGTAG